ACAGATTTCAGGTGTACAACATGTTCAACATCTGTATACAGCTGTATTATCATCTCCAACAAAAGTCTACTTTCCATCCACACCATACAAATGACCCTCCTTTACTTGATTTGCCGACTCCCCCGCCCCACCAAAGTGTATTTCTTTTTAAATTATTACAGAGTAGGAAAAAAAAATGGACTAGATTCTACCAAAAAAGTGACAAAAAAGGCATTAGCTTTGCCTGCAATTGTGTTTTTTTCTTCTGCCTGCCTAAGCTGCCAAAGCTGCAGACTTTTGGTGAGGGTGTCAGTGTTGCTGTGCAAGTCAACTGTCAGCAGCATTTCTCTGCTCTACCTGGGTCTTAATGACTTGGCACTTTAGAGAGGAGGCACATAGAATAATGGGGTAGGAAATAAATGCTTCGTGCAACTAGGAACATCAAACCAGGAAGCCTGGACCACTGGTGGGGTGATAGAGCACCCTCCTCTAGCTTTTTCCTTAAAACTTTGGTTAAATTGTCACCACCCATAAGAATCTCTTCATCGTCCAGCAGTTACCAATTGCCCGCCTTTTGGGGTGTGTTTTAGTTGTTACTTCAAATATCCCTTTATTCCAACACTTACCGCAGTCCCCTGGAATTATCTGTGTAAATATCCATCTTCCTCTCCAGACTAGGGACACTTCAGGACAGTGACCTATCCTTGAACATGGGAAGTGCCCCATAATCACTACTGAACAAATGGAAGGCCAGCCACATGCTAGTGTACTCTGATGAGCATGAAGTAGAGAATATGCAAAATCATGTTGCTGTCTGAGAGTACACAGCATGACCTCAATCACAACCATCTCCCACCATTTTATTATATCTCCTAAGCTCAGTGACAGATACTTATATTTTTCTGAACATACCATGTATGTTCATGTAGCTGCCTTTGCATGCAGGGAAGAAAGGCTGGCAAAGCCCTACCCTTTGTTTAAGTCTCAGTTCATGTGGGCTTCCCTGGTGGCACTAGGGGTTAAGTCTCAGCACTATGACGCTCTCTGCAGCATGAGTTCGATCCCCGGCCAGGGAGCTAACCCACCTGGCGCAGCAGACCTCTCCTGTCTCACCCTATGCTCCCCTCAGCAGTCTATTTCAGTAGATCTGGGAAGACTGTGTGGATCTTAGAAGATTATCATGAAGGGTTTCTTGACCCACAACAACTGTTGCATTTAAACTTGCACATGAAAGTACCATTCAGGGAAGGTTACTCTGAGTTAGACCTCCACTAAAATGTAAGGAGAATGCCTTAAATGTGTTGGAGAATCTGTGGCGTAAATCTCCACCAACACTATGCCTCTTTGTATATGTGTTTCCCTTGTTTATTTGGGGGAACTGATTGATTCTATCTTTTCTTTTTTTTTTTACTTGTAGTTTTTTTTTTTTATTTAATAATAATTTTTTTTTTATATTCCCCATACAATTGCAACCCCTTTATTTTGACCCCAGTCCCTCCCCTCCCACCCCCTACCCCCCATAGAGTGTCTCTGGTTCATAGTTTTTTGTTGATTTTGATTTTCACTTTCTTACAGTTATTCATTTTCCTGGTTCCTTATTTAAGTTTTCTAGATTCCTGCTGAGTGAGACCATCTGGTATTTTTCTTTTTCTTTCTGGCTTATTTCACTGAGCATGATCTCTTCCAGCGCCATCCATGTTGCTGCAAATTGCATGTGTTTGTCTTTTTTGAATGCTGAGTAATATTCCATAGTATATATGTACCACATCTTCTTGATCCAGTCATCTATTTTTGGGTATTTGGGTTGTTTCCAAAGCTTAGCTATTGTAAATAGTGCTGCTATAAACATAGGGGTGCAGGTGCTCTTTGGAATTGATGTTTCTGTGTCCTTTGGGTAGATACCTAGGAGTGGAATTGCTGGATCATATGGTGATTCTATCTTTTCTAACCAATAAAAGGATTAAGTATTAATCACCATCTCATTATGTAATAGTGTAATCTCCATCAAAAAGGGGAGGTTCCATGTTCCCTGCCCCACTTAATGAAGGGTGGAGCTGAGAAGACTTGGACAAGAGACTTGCAGTAGGCATATGGAACAGAGAGACATGTGAGGAAGAAGGTGCAGTTGCTTCTCAGCTTGGCACTTGCACCAGAGACATGGGAAACATGCAAGGAGACACATAGAGCAAGGCATGTAGCAACATTTGGAAAAGACATAGGTGAGAGACCCATGGGGAGGTTGTTAATGACAGCCATTACTTTGATTTGTGTTTTGATTTTGCTCCTTTCATCCCTTTCTTGCCTGGCCCCTTCTGCCCATTTTTTATGGTTTCCGCCAGAAGGTGCCTTAGACTTGTGGCAAGATTTTTGGGCCTCAGCAATCTGCTTTGTGCCCACCACGTTTGGCTGAACATTTACCCATGAGAAATGGGTAACTTTGGGTGTTCTATTGCAAACCATTATTTTCTCTCTATGCATATTAATCCCACTAAAGTTCTTTTGCACTAAGCGAATGCTTTGTTTTTATGTGATGGATGGCAGAACCCATTTAGAGCATGCAAGTATGGGGGGCCAGGGATATCCCTCATTCTGCTCACTAACAATTAACTATTAAACTCTAGTCAGATACTGGAAGGAAGAAAAGATGAGAAAATAGGAAGAAAAAAATTCCTCATGCAAATGTTATCAACAATAGCAAGAATTATAAATTGCTCTATTTTAGGCCACAGTGTTTTACAGTGGAGTTTGGGAGGGAACACCACTGAGAAAGCTATGGACAGTATTCATATGAATGGACAGATCTCACTGCTTCCTTCTGAATGAGACTTCTACCAGTGCAGGCATGCTAGAATCATGGACTCCATAAATTAAGCTGCTAGTTGCTCTTATCTTTTCACACTCCTAGGGATCTACCCAAAGGACACAAAAACATTGATTCAAAAGAACACCTGTACCCCTATGTTTATTGCAGCACTATTTACAATAGGTAAAACCAGGAAACAACCCAAATGCCTCAAAGTAGATGACTGGATCAGAAGATGTGGTACATATACACAATGGAATATTATTCAGCAATCAAAAAAGATAAACTCATGCCATTCACAGCAACATGGATGGAGCTAGAAGGAATTATGCTCAGTGAAATAAGCCAGAAGGAGAAAGAAAAATATCGGATGGTCTCACTTATAGCAGGAATATAGGGGAACCAAATAAGACATCAGTGTAAAAAAAAAATAATAACAGTACAAAACACAACAAAGCAAAAACAGACAATTATAAATCAGAGACATCCTGCAGGGGAGGAGGCAGGAGAGGGATCAGAGGGAGGGAGGGAAGGAGGAGCACAGGGGACTGAGGTGATGGTGCCCAGGTGCATTGGTGAAGGAAACTCTATGGGGACTACACCGAGGGGGTCGGGGGAAGCAAATATTGTTTAAAAATGAACAATGATGTAAAAAAATTTTTAAAAATTTTAAGAAAGAACAGTCTCTTGAGAGGTGATATAAAATACAACAATCATGCAAACTGCTATTTCTCCATCCACACTTAATTTACTTTTTTCTTAGGACAAGATCTGGCAGTGTCCAACATGTAGTTGGAACTGATACAAAAAGACTTTTGCAATGAAATTAGAACAGGATGTTACTGTTAAAACTTCACATCAATCCAAAATGTCCTAGTTGTGTGCAGAGCAGACACTCAAACCCACTATTTCCCTCTAGCTGCTCACAGTTGAAGGGAGTGGTAGCTTCTTCAAAATGAGTAAGAACATAAATATACATTCGTTTCAAGACTGCACAAACATGTCTCTAAAGTTTTTTGACTCCTTTATTTTTCTTTCCCACCTTCCCTTGGAGAAGGGCAGCCAATAGCTACTCTACCTTCAGGTTTCTGTCTGGAAAGCTGGCAGTCTTCCAGAATACGATTAGGTATGAAAACAAAGTCCCATCTCTTGCCTCCTGAGAGTATAACTTCTCCAGTCCTTTCACAGGAGGACTAAGTGGCTTTTAATGTGTTTTCATAGTTCTTGAGCCAGTTCTAGCCTATTGATCTGTTTGTGGTATTATGCAACCAGTTAGTTGTACAAAGAGGTGTGAGTCCCAGTAATTGTCACTATGGTTAGTCACTAACTATAGTTTCCTCCTTACTTCTACTTGTTACATGCCATCAGGTTATATAAGAGAGTTGCCTCATGCTGTCATCTGATAAAACCTTGGAGGCCTAGGATCTAGACCATAAATCTCCTCGATTTGGGGGTCATTTTACTCTTCCCCTACAGGATCCATCGTAGTTGTTGCACACACAGGAGTACTATAGGAATACTTCAGGGATAGACAGAAACAAGTCACTGGTCCATCATTATCCATCTTCTGGGGCTGGCCCTGCTTACTGACTTTGTGAAGAGGGCAGTGCTTCAGCTGACCAATATGTACCCTGAGGAAAATGCTGTGAGCTTCAAAGCGGGGAATGTGCATAACACACGGGCAAGAATCATCACCACCTATGATGGCACTGCTTTAGAAAGCTGGACTATAGAGACTGCCAGGCCGGTCTTGGAAACGCCTGAAAGCCTCAATGACTTCATTTGCAAAATGGGGAGAAGTAGGAGTCAATGCCTGGGGTGTGGGCGCATGAGGCTTAAGGCAAAGCTGGGTAGAGGGCACGGCGAGCTTCCCTCGATGTCAACTGTTGCTGCTGTTGCTGCCAACCAACAGGTAGGCGGCCATGCCCTCAGAGGACCGGGCCCATAGGCCCGGTGGTTTCAAGCATCCTTCCCCTTGATCGAATAAACACTTTTGTTCCAGAGGCAGGAAAGCCTCCTTGATAAAGACCGTGGAGGAAGCTCGGGACCCGCTGGGATTGGCCGGACAAAGGGCGAGGCTGGTCCCGGCTGCGCGCGGGGCCTTCCAGGCGGCGCTCGGACGGCGGGGATCCGCCTCGGACCTGAGCAGGCGGAGCAGCTCCCACGAGCAGGGAGCCCGCCCGGGACCCCGCCCAGGCGGCCGCCGGGTCCCCTGGGCTGGGCGCTGCTGGCAAAGCCGACGGGGCGGAGAGGAGCGCGGCGGGAGGAGGAGGAGTAGGAGCAGGGGGCTGGTCAAGGGAAGTGCGACGTGTCTGCGGAGCCTTTTTATACCTCCTGCTCGCGAGTCTGGAAGCAGCAGCCGCCGCCTCGCGTCTCGGCTCCCGGGAGCGGCTCCGAGCTCCAGCGCGCCGCGCTCCGCCAAAGCCAGCCAGCATGTCGGGGGTCAAGAAGCAGAAGACGGTAGGCTTCCAGCCGCCGGCCTTCCTCCTCCCTCCTCCGGTCGGCGCCGACCTCCCCCCATCCCGGCCACTCGGATCCCACCCTCGCGGGGAGGAGGCGGGCAGCCGCGGCGCGGAGGTTGGGGCGCGCGGCGCAGGGGAAGGAGGAGGAGCAGGCGCGGAGGAGGGAGAGCTGGAGGGCCCGGCTGGGTCGGGATCCCCCGCGGTCCTCGCCAGGCTGCCCCGCTCCGTCCCCCCGCCTCTGGGAACCTGCGCCCCTGCGCCGGCCGCGCCTGGCGCAGACCTCCGGAGCTTGCCAAGTGGGTCCCGAACGAGAGAAAGGACCACGAGCAGGAGATTACCTTTCTTTCCCCAGAGCTTTTCCAGACTCGCCTTTTCTTCCTAGGGTCTCCGCGCGGGGCGAGCGGGTGGTGGGGCTGAGCTGACCCCCATCTCCAGGGTCTGGCCCCGGGCGCTTGTCCGCGACAGGCGTGGGGGTTTTGTCCGCGGAACCTCCTCGGAGTGGATTTTCATGAGGGACTTTGATAGATCTGCAAGGGTCTAGACTTCCACGGAGGAAACTGCATTTCCACAGCGGCAGGATTTAGCTCCCCAACGTGAGCCATTTACTGAACTCCTCAAGTTCAGTCATGGGGGATTCCTCAGCTTGGTGGTCAGGTGAAGGGACTGCTTTCAGGGGGATGGCTAGATTTTATCCAAAATTAATCTGGGCCATCACTTTCGGGAAAAATAGAGGGCTTGTCAAAAAGAAAAGTTCCTCCCTCATTTCACGATAGGAGCTTTTATAAATTTTGCATCCTTAAAAATGGCAGCAGAGATCATAGAGTCTTAGAGTTGGAAGGCGCCCTGCGGACAGTATTTTGGCAAACCAGAGGTGGTCTGATAGCCTGTTTACCTCCCCGCCGGCAGTCTGACTGCTGAGCACTCGTCTTTAACTACCACACTACCAGCCTCAGATGATGCCGGTGGTCAGTGAATGGGTTAACCTTTCTCAAAGAGTTAGATTTGTACTGGCACAAAGTAGATGCTCAGCAAATGTTTATTGTTATTATTACATAATACTTATTTACAGAAATAGCTTTGAGTTGTTTGCTGTGAGGCAGAGGGAAGAGTCGAAAAAAATAAGACTTGGGGAAGGACTACAAATGTGGATTTAAGCTACAAGGGAAAAGGGCTGGGGCTCTGTGGTTACTGGGCACCACCCTGAACCAGCAGGAGGGACAGTAGGAGGGAAGTGACATCAATTTGAAAAGGGAGAATGGTCGGGTCCAGCTGCCTTTTATAGGTGTGATTTTAAAGTGGGGAGACTTTCAGTGTGGTATTTAAAAAATACTGTCCGGTGAATATCACTTTTGTTTTATTTCTATTTAATTTTATTAATATCTATAAACTTCTAAATGCTATCTTCTAAGTGACAAGCTGTTGTGACACTTACTAGCTTTTTATTATTAGAGAGTTTTTATCCTGTCCTCCCTGCTTGCTTCAAGAATTCCTTCCTGTTCTGATGGGGCCTTTGTCCAACATTACTAATGAAGGGGTAGGTGGTCGTTCCCCTTCCTGCCTCCAGTCTGCAAAAGTCCATGAAGTGGAGGCTTTGAGAACACAGGCTTTGCAAACTGATGGTGGGAACTATGTAGTCAGAAACAGTGAGGAATTTGAGGGCCAGAGGGCTTGGTTTTTGTATTCACACATTTTGAACGTATTCTATTCTTTGTTTGGGGTGTGTGCATATTCTGCAGAGGATTAAATTAACACCTGATACAGCTAGCATTACTTCTGCTCTTCTGTTTAGCCAACATGATTATAATCCCAGCACCAGCACAAGTCCCCACAAGGGCTTAGGTAAAAGTAAGCCAGCTATTAGAGCATGTGAAATCTCTCAAACTTTACATGTTAACTCAAAATGTATTTTGAGACCTAGGAGATCAACACAAAATCTGTCTACTTTTGTGACCTCTGAACTGATGAGTAATTTGAGAAGTGAACCTTGCTGATCTAGGAAGTTATCCTAGAAATGAGGGTGAGCTGATCTTTTCAGGGACCCACAGAACACTATTATGTTACATTTTTCTGTATCATTAACACAGGACAGTCAATTCTCATGGCAGTGCCTGCAGTAGCTTCAAATACTTATTGAGCCCCTACTGTGTGCTGAGCAGTGTCCTGGGATGGATACATCTTTCCCAGGACTTGTTGGTACCTCTCTGGATGAACAACAGCCTTTTGGTTCAGAATGCTGTCTAGGAAGAGTGAATATTTTTGGTTTAAATGAGAGTGTAGATGATTTTCTACAAACTTGAGAACACTAGTATAGTATTTTTTTTACAAGAGAAGGTAATATATTCCTTCTGTGCTGGCCATCTTTACCATGGAAACCAAAGACAGCTGTCTGTCACATCCCTCCACCATTTGACTTACCCTTACCTTCAGCCCTTGACTTACCTCCAGCCCTGGCCACATTCTGCCCCCTATGTACACACAGAGATACCTAAGACAAGGAATAAACAGCTTATTCCAAGAGGCCTGAAAAGAAAGGCAATGGCCTCATCTCTTCTTGCATCATTTCCTGGATTAGCATTTGTCAAGACCCACAGACAACACTATTATGCCTGAGATGCCTACTGTAAAAAACCAATTGAGATATTAAAATAGTTTCCAAAGAATCAACTAAGCCCATGATTGGGAATGAGTGAAGGGGTGTTGAAAACTATAAAGTTCTCTTGGGCCTCCCTGGTGGTGCAGGCGGTTGAGCGCTGCACTGTGAAGCTGTCTGCAGCCTCTACAGCACGGGTTCGATCCCGGCCTGCCGGTGAGAATCCCACATGGCGTGGCAGACCTCTCCTGTTTCGCCCGCTGCTCCCCTCGGCAGTGTATTTCATCAGTCTGCCTGTTCCCCACTCTGTTCCCCACTCTGTCTCTGGTGAATCCTCTCACCCTACCGCGCATCTGGCCTGTACCCCGGTTCTTGTATAAAAGTAAGTAAATCTTTAAAAAAAAAAAAACAAATTATAAAGTTCTCCATTAATGTAAGTTGATGAACCTTCTGTATTTATTATTTTTAAGATTTGATATAATACTACTTTAGTATCTTGGAAGTAGCTACTTTTCAAACGATTTGAAGACTCTGCCTAAGGCAAAATACCCTTTGGAGAGAAGGAGAAGTAACCACTTCTTATCGGCCAGGCACTCAATCACGCATTACATTCCTACAACAGCCTTCACCCCAGAAAACTGAGTCTCATCTCAAGGAGAGGAGAAATGCCAGGGCCAGGGCAGGATTTGAATGCAGCTCCCTCCGACTTTCAACTCACACTCTTGTTCCCTCTGTATCTCTGCTTCAAGATATCTGCCCATAGAGTCCTCATGCGTAAAATGGGAGTGATAAGGACTTACCCTTTACAGTTGCTTTTGGAGTAAATAACTCCGTGGGGGCGGAGAAGGGAGTAGGATCAAAACAAGGGTGGTGGGGATTGTAAGGGGACTATAACCAAGATGAAAATGCATACATTGTGCAAAAATGAAAAATGCTGTAAAAAATACACAAAATTAAGTATGTTGCAGAGGGCCTCCCTGGTGGTGCAAGGGGTTAAGCATAGCACTGTGAAGCTATTCGCAACCTCTGCAGCATGCGCTCAATCCCCTGGCTGGCCAGGGAGCTACCCACATGGCACAGCAGACCTCTCCTGTCTCACCTGCTGCTTTCCTCAGCATGTATCTCAGTCAGTCTGTCGATTCTGATCTCCGCTCTGTCTCTGGTGAATCCTCTCATCCCCTGTACCTCTGGCCTGTACCCCAGTTTTTTTATGCATAAATGAATCTTAAAAAAAAAAAAAAAAACTCCCAAAAAAGTATGTTGCAGAGTTTTCCAGGCCCAGAATAAGTATCCTGAATGAGTAGCTTCTTGTTGTAGTTATTGTTACAGCACATAGCCAAGGTTTTGGCAAGCAAGGTGAAGAAAGCACAGGAGACACCATTTCAGAAGACCAGTAAATGACAACTTCCACAATATTAAAAAAGAGCAAACCAATGCAGAGATACAGAGCTGACAATTTGAATCCTTACTCTGAAAGGCTGGTAGAAGAAAGGGTTGATAACCTAAATGACAAGAACTTTGGGGGGCCTCTATCTGCAGCCACCACTGCAAGTTTGATCCCTGGCCAGGGAGGTGATCCACATGGCATAGCAGACCTCTCCTGTCTCGCCCACTGCTCCCCCTCACACCTCTGGCCTGCATCCCAACTCTTGTATGCATATTTTTTTTTTTAAAAAGCAAGACAAGAACTTTGTGCAAGAAAGGCAATTGATATATTAGCAAATATTGTACCAACTTCTCACCACCCTTTCTGTGCCTTCACTATTTCCAGATCCACCTTAAAATTAATGTTGTCCTATTTGTGCTGTTATTCCAAGATCATTGTTTGGACATTTATAGTTAACGATAAATGCAGTTAACTCTGAGTTTTATGTCTCTGAGATAGTTATCTTTGTCTTTCATCACTTTTCTGTTAATGCATGTGACTCTGTGGTTTGCTTAGGGAATAATTAGGCTTAAGTTGAACATAGAAACTTCAGGGGATGAGAGTCTGGGAAGGAATCATGATGTCAGTCTTGGTCCCAGGAGATTACTGTTTAGCAAATCTATCACTGTATAATAATGGGCACTAATTAGTCTTTGTATTTGGAAGTCTTAAGATAACACAGGAACTAAAGGTAAATAAACAAAAATGTACTGCTAACATTTCATCCCCTGGATTTGTCAAATAACAGCTAAATTGGCATGGATGGCCAGTAACCTGGTATTGAGCCTTTCAATAAAGGTGCATAAATGGCTACAGAATTCATTAGAGGATGAATTTGCTTTTAGGATCTATATATTTCCCTCAGAATCCTCCCTCTCTCATCTGTCTGTCTATTCTTGTGTGCTTGCTTATTTTTGCCTGGGTGTTTGTCATGACCATTGAAAAATTACTTGTAAGGATTCTTTGGGCTTAGGATGAATGG